AAAGCGCCCTCCTTCCAATAAGCGCCCCCTTCCCCCTTTAGGCCGAAATTTTTAATAAGCGCCCTAATGCTTATTCGGGAAGATACGGTAGTTTGAAGGAGGATTTCAAATAAACAGTATTGCAATAGAGAATATTTATTCCCTTTTTGGCTGATAAAATCTTTTTATAAAGTGATGCTGAAGCACGGATCACAATACATCGTCTACCATGTTCAAGATATGAGTTCAGCTCCACTTAGATACATGTTTCATTTGCATTTTCTGTGAATCGTTTACGAGCGTGGTACAGTTCTGTAAATCATTTACGTACGTGGTATAGTTTCTTCTCTGTAGAGTGCAGTTGACTCAGCCTTCGCCTTGTCAAACAATCTTCTCGACATTTAGATATCTTGACCGTACATTCCATGCAGTGAAGATAATTGTCACATGATGTCATGCACGCGTGCCAAACACCTGAACAATGGTTAAGGCAATGATCTGCGTGAGACGTTGATCTCTGTTTGGACTTGCTTGAGGCGGATAACGTCAGTAATAAAATGAAAACAACAGCTCTCAAAGGAAGCTTCATGGTAGCGGCTTTTTGGAGAGAAAGAAATTAAAGAAGATCCGTCAACAGCAAGAAGATGATAGTTAATATACTAAATTAACGCTAATGAAAGCTTGAACGTCAGCAAACCTACGCGCGTATTTTTATTAGAAGGCACTAGATTGTGAAATTTCGTTTCTAGGACCCTTTTGAAACCTAGTTTAACTTATAAAAGTGATATTTTCTATTCCGGATTTCTCGAGCCGAACAGTGTTAAACATAAACACCTACCCTCTGGTCTATTCTAAAAGCTAGGGAAGCAAAGACATGTTCGTGAATCTGGTATTACTGACGGCGGCCAAAAGTTCGCATAAGAAGTCTATGAGGGCGCCAGAGCGACTGCGATCATGCTACATCGCGGGTAGCTCATCATGGCAATCTCCGGTCATCGCATTAAAGCACGCCTCAGAATTTACATCGGCCGCCCTTCGAGTGAACGACTAAGCGCTTGCTCTGATATCCTTTCGGAAGCGTTGAGTGGAAGGCCACATCGGTCACAGCAGCCGAGTTTTACGGCGCTGTCATCCCAAGCACTCTTCAGGTTTGAATTCGACTGTCTTCATTTACAAAACACACGCCTTGAGCAGTTTGTTTTTTAAAAAACACTCGCGTTTTTTTATGAGCTTCAGTACGGTCGGATTTCACTAAACTTTCTCTCCCAGGTTCTGTGTTAGAGACCAAAAACTTCAAGAAAAAGTGTCAAATTCGACCTGCCGAACTGTGAACGTTGACCGTTTGACATTTTTGACAGCTTTAGTCTTGTTCAACCTATCAGATTATTTGTCTCCTTTCAAGAGTTCTGATTGGCTTATTGTAGCATTCTGCTGACGACACTGTTGTTCGCTTTGGAAATAAATTATGTTTTGAGAATTGAAAGTAATGCGTGGAGAATTTAACGGATTCCTTATTATATAACAAAATAGGGAGAGGAAGAAGAAGTAGGGAGAAACACTCGACTACGTCTCGCGTCTTCCTGCTTGCTTTACAATAGAACAGAGCACAGTCAAAGCTTCTCTACTTGTTAATTAGTTTTCGCGAATCAGCCTAATAATACTCGAGTGAAACATCTTCTCACTGGAGTGCCGTTATGAGAAAGGATTTCCGCTCAAATCACGGTCAATACGTTAGTCATCAATACCGCTCTTTTCATTACCACTCTTACCCGAAAAATCAGACAATGTAATTAAAAACCATACACATTTTGCTGCATTAAAAAAAATACGAATAAGAAATTAAACTCCAAAAACGATGAATGCTGAAAAAAAACCTGAACTAAAATATAACTGATATGGAATGTAAAGATGGGGAAAACGTTTAAATTCTCATTTTTAAAATAACTCTTCATCAGCTGAGAAAAATTTGGTAAATCATCTCTTTCTTAATAAAATGAAAATAAATTGGACAGACGTCAACTGTCTAGAGGAGACAAACAACTTATCTTCAGCATTAAAGCATTTATCACGATCTTGGCTGATTCGACGTTGGCTTCTTGTGAAACTTATGACTGTGATAGACACCGAATTGCGATAAAGTATTACCAAAAATAAGGATCCAAGTATCAAATGAAGGAATATATATATATATATATATATATATATATTCCTTATTCCCAAATATATATATATATATTTATTCTGCTCTGCTTCAACGTATTGAGCACTGTTCCACGCGAAAATCGACTGGCAGACTTCCTATATATATATATATATATATATATTACAAAGTGAACCATTGGAACATCGTTTTCAGAATATTGAAGATATTTCTTCCAGCTTAAAACAAATACATACCTTGTTTGATTACTGAATAAGATGAAACTGGCCTTTTTTGCTGAGAACTTCAGGCAAACTACCTATCGGATGAAGAAACGTGTTAACGGAAAAGATATGGTCATGAAATGCTCTGTTATTTACTGCCAATATACCTTTCGGCCCCAATTAACACCTCGATGTTCAAATCACAACCTTGAAATTTTATTGATTTGAGATTTAAACAAAAATACAAGCAGTTGGAAATTTTGCTTCCGTTATTTTTGTTTTTTTTTTTTTTTCCACTGCTTTGCATGTTGTAGGATTCTCCGGTTATTGCGAAAAATATTGTGACAATTGCTCAAATGTTTCTCACGTACCTGATCCCACGTAAATAATGTTAAATCGAAGACTACAAAAAAAGAAAGAGAAAAGAAAAAATACAACACAGAGATAAATCTGGCAACTTGGAAAACTCTCAGTCTCAATCAGAAGCCTTAGTTTCTTCCCTTCTTCTCAAGCAGCAATTGAGATAAAAAAAAAAACCTAACCTTTTGAAAATCTTTCCATGTCAAATGTTAATTTTATTGGGGTATTTAATGCGAGTCGCGCAGGTTTTTCGAGGTAAGTTCTTTCGGCTGTTCTTCTTCTTTTGATTCCAAACTTTGATGCACTGTCGCTTAAAGGTGGCTCTGTTGTGTGGGCGTAAGGACAGGAATTTTCTATTTGGTAGTTTGTTTCGTTTTTCTTACAAATACAATAGCCTCTATATTTTTCCTCGGACGATATCTGTTCCCCAAAGCCCACAGATTTCCTTGAGCTTCACTTTAGGAAAAATTTGGTATCTTGGAATGGGTAATATCCGCGGAAAATATTCATGCATGTTTTCGCGCAAATTAGAGGCTATTGTAATTGTTATCCTTCATAAAATTTGCAACGCGCGAGCAAAAATGTTTATATAATCTATATAGGTGTAAATATTAGAAAAATAATGACAACGGTCTGTGCGAGTCGCAATACGTTTAAATATAAGAAACAGGGACTAACTTATTTCGTATGGAAATACCTCAATGAAGAGTTGGAGTTTATGGAATGTTTATCAAACTCCCTTTTCCTTCTTATTAACTGTGAACTGAAAAAAACAAAACAAAACAAAGCGTAACTATCAACAGAAGAGAACGGGAAGCGCAGTCACTCAGATCTCACCACCACTATAGAAAATTTTATATACAATGAAATCATCGAAACCCATTTGGAAAACATTAAACTTAGATTGCTTTTCTCTGTTATTCCTTTTAGCTTGGGTCCATTGTGGTGTGTCATTCATATTCCTAATGATGAGGGTCAGTGTCGATTGGACAATCCCAAAAACAAAAGCAAAATAAAAAGCAGGTAACCTGGTGATCATTCCTGAGGAGGAATGTTTTATATTAATAATGGTTATTTAGAAAGTGGTATCAGAACCACGATTTTCATCACTCTTTTTCAAAGTGGGCAAAGCACCCAGATTTCATGAGCGTTTTTCATTGAGCCTCCTATTCCATCGCCCCTTGACGTCTACCTGTTGATGTATCAATGATTAGAAGAATCAGGCCCTTCCTCGAAAGCGAGAGCTTTTCAAGCGAGACACAAAATGCCCAGAAGAAAGTTGAAAAGGGCTTCGACAATTGAAACACTTATGAATAAAAATAATAGTAATTTTGATTGCAGAAACCAACATCACAATCAAGTGGTTAACAAGAAGGTACTCGCGAGCTAAGACTAAATACTAGGTAAGAAATACAGGGATGTAGACAATTTACAAAAGGAGAATAAACAATGAATATCATCACAAACTAGCTAAGAAATGCAAAGAAGTAAGACATTTCAAGATATATACAAAAAGAGGATAAACAAACAATTTCGTTAAAAATCAGAGGAGCTAAAGTTAACTGACGGCCAGTGACCCACCCCCCCCCCCCATCACCCTTGTCATGTGACAGAAATATTTTGATTTTCAGTCCCCATATAAAAATCAAATTTTAAGATTTCATTTATGTTGTCGTTATAGGAATGATGGACAGTAAATGAACTCTGATTTTATATCCTCCGCAGTTAAGAGATTATTGGATAACAAAGTGTTCAGATTGCAATAAACTAAGCTATTAGGTTGTTTTTGGACTGCACCTGAAGAAACAGAACAACTAACCAATTTTGCTGCCGCCTTTATGCATGATATGTTTCCTGTGCATTGGAACATTACAAGTGCAGGCTAGTTTGGCTTCTTATATGTCAGAACTGTATGGCTCCCCATAGAGGCCTAATTTTGATAAGCGTCATCTTGTATCTTCTCCAACCATTTGAAAAGGCTTTGTTCTTCCGCCCTCGTTGCGTTCTATCCGGGGTACCAAGGGTGGGGGAAGGTTTGTTTCCCATTCACTTTATTAGGGAATCAATGTTACAATCTTGGGACAAACGTTTCCTTAGTATTAGATGCTCAAACTTAAATAACTAACGTTTCCTTAGTATTAGATGCTCAAACTTAAATAACTAACGTTTCCTTAGTATAAGATGCTCAAACTTGAATAACTAAATATGGACTTGCCTCATATCGAATTTCTTTATGCTAAACATGACTCTCCCCAATACTCCACGGGCACATGACGGTCACGCTCTGGTGGATTAGATTGGAATCTGCACATGATAATAATATGGATTGGGCAACGACTGTATCAGAATCTTCACAGCGTCGCCTTTCTTCGAGCGATGTATTGGAACAGCCGTCCGCTTTAGGTTTCGGATTCACCGACTACAGGTTAGTGAAGACACTATTTGGTGATTTGTCATAAAGGGAGTTTGTTAGAGTTCGACTGAAACCCTATCATAATGTCCTCTTTTATACTATCAGATACTCACAGATACTCGCAGTAAATTGCAAGCATCAAAATATCGACGCCAAATGATAATTCTTTCATCATAAAGTATTTATTGTCGTTAAATTCGTGTGTTGTCTGATGTAATCATGGTCCAAGGTACAAATGCTTTGGTGAACGAAGTAAAAGGACACGGAGGGAAATAAAAGCGTATGTCAGTTTCGCTTTCCGTTATTACTATAACCTAGCCGTATTTGAGCCATGTTGGTAAATTACTGTCTGGGTTGTAGAGCTACTTTTTAACTCATTAAGTCTCGTGTTCATTGTTGCCGCGTCATGGAAATTAACATGCATGCGTCCCTGCATAATACTTTGATAAGATAAACACTATGTCGTTTGAAAGTTGCCCATAGTTCCACATCATACCTTAGATAAAAACTCGAGTAGCCATAGGGAACTTAGAGAGTAATTTTAGCATTACTTTAGAGTAAAGATTTCCTGCTCTTCAAAACAAAACTAGGAAAGAATCTGAACGTGACGAGTAGGTTTAATGATTGTTTTTAAACGAATGATCTTAACCACGTCACACTTAAAGTTAGTTTTTATTTTGCGGTTACGTTTTGTCTCAACTAAGCAGATTATGCTGACATTTATACATGGCTACCCTTGTGACGCAGGCCGGGGGGCATGACCCCGACCATTCTTGAATTACGGTTGCTCTGGGAATTCTTTGATCGATTTTTGTACCAGAGGAAATCATGGTTGAACCGCATAAATCATCATTGAATGTTCGGTCATGAAAATTAAACTGACATATGAGTACTAGGACATGAAATGCATGATCAGGCATAAATACTGGTTTTGCTGAGTTTTAACATTTTAACATTCTAATCAAAGATAGAACCGGACCTGACGCATTCGCCTCTTAAAACGTTCTAGTCACGTTTATGAAGTAAGTCTTCGAACATCGGACACACATTCCAGTTTCAATAAAGCAGACGATTTTAGTGGTACAGTGTTTTCGTCGTAGCGAAAAGCTGCCGACAGTTTGGGCTGAATAACATTTTTTAAAACGCCGAAGACTTCGTTATATCTAAGGGTCGGAAACATCGTGAAATTTGCTGTCTCTCTGTAAGTATTTGCTCTCGGAGCGATTTTTTTAAAATTAATTTTTTACCGCCAGACTTAACGAATGTTTTTCTCAGTGATTTAATTTTTTTTCCCTGAAGGACAAATGCTGATGAAATCTGGCAGGAGGTTGCCAAACGATATAAGGAAATAATCGAAAAGGATATCAAACTGCGAAATTCCAGTCAAACTATGGCATCATTCAAGGTTACGTCCTTGCAAACAGAACAACAGACACACTCGGCAACATATCCGTTGGCCCAGTGTCCTCAAGCACAGCCAGTGGATAATGAAGAACAATTTCACCATTCAGTTGTCATGCATCAAAAGGAGAAGAAAGATACTGAAACGTTTCCCAAAATTGTTAAAGTATTTAGCTTAAAACCCTCATTACCTGTGCAAATTTTCCGAGATCATGTGACCATAGTCATCTCACCAAAGGAGGCAACTGCCCAACCCCTTTTTGGAAAGTCATGGGAGAATGAACCATGCGAGCAAATTGAGAAGGAGACCTTTAACAGCAGCGCAAACAATGAAGGAGGCAAAATTCAGACTTATTATGACAATAAATGTGTACCAAATTTTCAGTGTACTGGTATTAGCAGGCGAAAAAGTTCGCGTGATACCAATTTTTTAAGGAACCAGCATATATTTGGTATGGCAGACATTGATACAATGCAACTTGGAGAGAAGGACGTCCAAAGTGGTAGCTTGTCAGGAAGAACCTTCATGGAAGAGTGGTTCCAAATACCTTGCAACTCTACACCCGAAAAAAACCCTTTTTCGAAGAATGAAAGAGTTAATGAGGCGGAAGTAATGGTCAATGCGAGAAAAAAAAACGTCTCGGAGCAAGAACTAAGTAATATCGATGCTAATAAGAAAAGGAAAAGAAGGAAAAGGAGGGCCATTTTTCAGCAGGCCAAGACAAGGAGGAGTAAAAAGAGGCGTTTAATTAATGATATCAAGACTATCGATCAATCTTTGATAGGTGAAGAATTCAAAAGCGATACTGTGAACCAAGCATGTTCTCAGGTTGAATACTGTGGCTCATTTAAGGATACAGAAACAGAAATGACGGAGACCACTGCTGGAACACAAGGAAGGTCTGAGAAAGATACTCAGGAATCCTTTCAGGATTCTCTGGCAGTTTTTAATGGGGAACCCGTCCCCGGTGAGACGGGGGTGATTTCAAAGGAGCCAGCAGGAAGCAGTAAGGGTAATGGTTATTTCCCGTCAGGTACGATTTCTTCCTTACCTGGTATTGACATTCATCAAAATAGAATTCTTCATCTTAAAGAAAAACTTGCACAGCAGGAACAGGAACTTAAGAATCTTAAGCGCAAAAAAGAGTTTGAAGGTGTACTAACAGAAGAAGCTGAGGAAGAATGGTTTGAGCCAAAAGACATGAAAGACACAGAGTCTCTGGGAGACAACGAAGTGCGTGATGTAAGCCTTAAGCAAGACACAAAGATCTGGTCCGATGGAAAAGAAATCGAAGAGGCTGTTAATATGGGCGAAATGGATGATCTAAAGAACGCGTTTCAGAAGGTGATCAAATCATTCAGTAGAACCTTAGATGGCAAATTGTATTCCACCAGAAGAGTTCCATACTACGCTCACCTCCCGACAAGGAATTATGCGGTAGGCGTCGATTACAAACGTTTTTCTACTGGCATCACCAACCAATTGATACCCGGGGATTTTGATAGTCAGGAAGAGTTCTTGTTTCAGCTAGGTTTGCTGAGAATCTACTAGCCAATAAAAGGAATTCAAGTTTGCTGATGAAAATAGTGGTCATTGTTGCCTTTAGGCGATACTATCTACTTGAGTAATGTGCTCAAAAACTAGGCGTCGCTGAGTTTTACCACGCATGACTTCATATAGTATTTTTGCCTGAACTTACGTTGAAAAAACGAAACATTTTGCAGTAACTGTTGAAGTTTCTGCTTGGTTGCAAGGATTAATACGGCATATTTGAGGATAATTTTATAACAAAGCCCTTAATTGCATAAATTTTCGACTTAACTACAGTAAGAACTTCTGTAAAACTTTTTATTGAGCTAGCAATACCTGCTGTAGCCATCTTTACCAGTTGTCTCCAATCTCAGCATTTACGGTGCCAGAGGATGGAGCATTGTGGATTTAACGTCCAGTCTGTTTGTTTATTTTGGTCAGAAAAAGCTCATGTGATTTGAGCCACGTGTTAGAAATAAAATTTAGAAAACATCAAGAATTATGAGATCTGATTGGTAAAAGTAAACTAGTTTCTGTAATGACTTATTGATGAATTAAAGAAAATGAACAATACGTTTAAAAACATGTTTCGGCAGTTCTTCTGTCATCTTCAGTTCTGAATAATACAAAGTACAAAGTTGAATTTGAAATGTGTAACAAATTGCTGATTGGACAAAAAAACAAAAGTAACAGAACAATGTATGTATTTACAAGGAAAGTTTTTAAATTAACATGATAAAGTTGGTGATTAAGAGTAGGTTACTCACATGTTAATTTAACTTTCCTTGTAAATGCATACATTGTTCTGATACTATTGTTTGTTTTGTCCAATAAGCATTTTGCTACACACTTTAAATTCAACTTTTTACGTTGTATTTTTCAGAACTGAAGATGACAGGAGAACTGTCGAAACATGTTTTTAAACGTATTGTTCATTTTCTTTAATTCATCAAATAAGTCATTACAGAAACTAGTTTACTTTTACCAATCAGATCTCATAATTCTTGATGTTTTCTAAATTTTATTTCTAACACGTGGCTCAAATCACATGAGCTTTTTCTGACCAAAATAAACAAGTGTCGTTCACTTTCTTAAATTCGTTACATATCTGCTTCTATCCAGACCTTTTTTATGACGACTGAATTGCTGTCTTTCGTTTTCCATACTGACAAGTAATTCTCTGAATTAAAGTAGTGAGCAGCACACTGCGAACTGTTGTAGTTAAACTTGTTTAATTCTGCGACGTGTTTCATCTTACTGTCATACACTTTTTTAAGGGAGTTTCACAAAAAAACACAAAAAAATTGTATTTATTAGCCGTGTTACACACTGTATCTGTTATAACGTTCAGGGCCAACAAAATGCAAAAGCTTGGCCGGATTTACAAACTGGAATAGGCGTAGTTGTGAAATGAGCCACGCTTTTAGGGTCGTTACGCAGACATTTCAATTCTGACCATTTGATCGTTTTCTTTGTAGTCAATGTCGGAAACGAACACCGCTCGAGTAATAAAGATTTCTCGACTTAATTGCCTATTTACATTCTCAAGTTTGATCTTAGAAGCAATTGTTTCTTAACGCGTATAAAAACTAAAGACATGACTAAAAAAATTTTCAGGCGACACGACTTTTGCGCGACTTGATCGGTTACCCGTATAGTAGCAGCACTACGACTGACGAGAATAAACTTGCCATTTAAGCGGATGAATGAGACAGAGGAAAGGAAGTAAGAGACCAGCTTAATGAAGCTCGGTTGGACGGCACTATTAGTGGTACGGCCAATCGCAACTTGTTCCTATTGGAGGTAATCCAAAGGAATGAGACGTATTTACAATCGAGCCATTTTCAGTTTCATAAGTGTTGATTAAGTACGATTGCGGGCAGGTAAGTAAACCCTGTTTGAAATCTGATCGAAATTTGAAATTTATCATCGGGAAAAATAATCTCCGTAGAAACAGAGGGCTTTATTCAAGTAAAAAGTAACGAAAAGACAAGTTGGTGAAATTAATACTACCGAAAAGTTGACAGTCGCACGTTCAACTGAGTGATAAGCCCTAATTAGACAAATTTTCAAGTTTCTCATATTTCCTCATTCTAAATTACATTTTCTCGACTGAAGCAACACTTTCTCACGTGAGACTTGCTAAGATTTTTTTTTCCCTTGTTAGGGAGCATCATTAGGCCATTGACCCGAGAGGGGGTCTCCCTCAGTAGACGATAGAAGACTCCACCTTTTACCGCTTTCGGAAAGATTATAAAATTATCGTAACAATAATGATGATAATAATAATAATAATAATAATAATAATAATAATAATAATAATAATAATAAATTATAAAATAAAGAGAAAGCACCTTTGGGTTCGAATGCATTTTAGTAATGGGTAAACTTGAATTTTCAGCCACCAATGTGATGTAGTGTTTAGACTGATTGCCGCTCTGTCTTGCGCACTAAAATCTTAATAGTTCCGTTATGGCTGTCGCTACCGAACGTCAGTCCACGTAGCCAGGAGCCCATCACTAATAGGCTCCTGACGTAGCATACAGAATAGTAAAACTGATCCGCTTGATTCGAACCCAATCATTCTCAGAGGCCAGATTTTGTGCACATTATAGACCGAGTGTAACTCGTTCGGTTCTCGAAACCAGCACTTACCTTCCTTTAAGTACGTATGCAAAGAGGAAATACTTTTGAGTGCGACAACTTAAGTGAGATGAGTTATTGAAGAACACTAGATGGATGTCTCTGGAATTTTAGTGCAGCCCTAAAAAGCGAAGCCACCGGGGAGTGTAATGAAGAGTTATATTTCTACCACTTATCCTTGTCAGCGATATTGTTGGGCTTAAGTCAATTATATTTTGCTATGATATTCCTTACAGAAAAGTGTTTGTTAAAAGATGTCGTCTAAAAGATGTCTTAAAAGCGAAATATCGAGTTGAACATTTCTAGAGCCAGGATCTCTTCAATATTATCTCTATTTTTGCATGCTGCGTGATACAGATATGATAATAATAATGCGAAACCTTCAAATTAGCATAATAAAAGCACGCATGACTGCCACAAGGTACGAACTCTCGTTACTGATTCATGAAGAAAACACTGTCGCACCTTACGATATGTCCTCCAAAGCGGGATATTCTACGTCTTTCTGACGTCACAGACTAATGTAAACAGATCAAAGTTCGCAACGCTTCATCGGCGAGAAACATCATCGCTCATGTTTCATATTTTTCCAGGCACGTGGGAGATTGAGAACAGCGTGACCTCCTCCACGAACGGAGGCACCTTTTTGTTTGAAAAGCAAGACGTGTTTTACCAAACTTTTTGAAGTTAAACACTTGTAGTCAGTATCACAAGATCCAGAGATCCTCCAACTATAAATGAAAGTTCAGCCTCCATAGCATGTCATCGTACGTTGATTGTTGCGGTCCTCGAAGATCACTCGACAGCGGCACAAGCAAGCCGCAAGACGCGTGTAAATCTTCCTCGAACAGTTTTATCCCGATCGGTCATCGTCAACAGTCATATAACGATAACTCTGAATCAACAGAACACAGGTTTGTGTTAGTGTAATTTTTAGTGTAGAGCAAATTTTCGTTTGTTTTGAAGGGACCGATGGTGTATCCTGCTCGGAGGTCAAGCCGTACAGAGGCTTCGCGCCCTAATCTGTCGCACGACTTAACGAAAGAAAAGCGTGTTACACATTGCACGTTCTTTTAACTTGTAATTTCGAAGATGGGAGGTTTTTGAGAAGAGAGAGAATGCTTTTAATCTCATATTTGTACAGACAAAAGTGTAGAAGTGCTCATGCAGAACGTTCCTAATTTATATTCTAACCGAAGTCGCGCCGAAACTCTCGTCACTCAAAGGTCAGAGAACTGTGTCAAACAATGCGCGGCAAATTAAGCGATGTTGTACCGCGGTTCATTTTCTCACTGATTAATTACTGGTGGTTTGCAAAGCGAAGTTCCTGTTTTGGAGATACCTGATATCACAAAGCGACTAAGTTATGTTGTGTTGGAATGTAATAATTTTAACGATTGTTTGCTAGCGCCGATCCCGAACCAACTGCAGTTTTTCTGTCGTCTCAACATCGTCGTTGGTTTGTGTATTAATTGCTAAAGTTATCTTTATTTGTTAGGACTTTTGTTTCGAAATTCTTTTTTGCGGGAAAGTGGGTCTTACTCTTTACTAACATGACGAACAAAATAACTACTAGTCACACGAAGTACAACACGTGACGTTGGTTTTGGTCACCAGTTATCAATCGATAGCATGTGGAGCTTTATTCATAAAAATGGAGGAGTTTATCGTTGCTTAAGCTGAAGAGAAGGCCGAGGTGGCCTGGGTCTCATCGCGCGACAATCCACGTTTCATTTTAATACCGCGTACTTTGAATCTCACGATCATGCAATCCTTTAATGAGAGTTGCGGAAAACTAAATATCCCTCACAAATATTGTGACAATAGCGAGCGAAGCGCTTTCTTCCAAAGATTCGTGATTTTGTCAACCAGCAAGTAACCTATGACCCATAGAATCACCATGCTCACTTATTTTGAAGTGCTATTTTATCTGACGTCATAAGTCTTCTTTATAGTCTCCTTCGGAAGTAACACAGCAGCGGAACGAGCAATCATGCTTCTCAAACGACACTGTGGTCTGTATCTGATATCACGATAAGCATAAATTTAGTCACATTGGTCACCAAAGGAAATAATTATGGTGAAACGAAAATCTTCACTAGAAGTATGCAGGGAATGTCGTATGCAGCCTGTATCAAGCTTTCGAGGAGATCAACGGATTACAGGAGACGATGGTTGAACGCAAACTAAATAGATTCGATCCCGGGTCGAGAAGCTGTAAATTCTTCAAAATTCCACATTCACCACAAATGAATTAAACAACTTTAACAACTTTAAGGTGCGAACTAGATCCAGTTGTTGTCGCACCCGTCCTACCGGTGAAAAAGACCAAACAATGACTGTCTCCACTGACGAAGAGTAGCATAGCGTGTTTAACAAATCTGCCTGGCGTTTTTTGAGTTGTTTGAAAAAATCATAATAAATAGTAAAATAACTTTTTGTCAGAATCGAGAGGTTTGTTGCCCGCACCAATCAGGTCGCCGCATTGAGGTACGTATCTTACACCAACCAGATCGCAACATTAGGACAGGTATCTCGCACCTAACAAATCACAGCATTAGAGTTTATCTCGTACCAATTAGAGCGCTATGGTATTGTCCCAATATAGTTACAAGGTAACTTTTCACTATGAATTGGGCTTCAGCTTCCTTAAATTACATTTTCCAGTCAACAACCTAAATTATGCGACTATTCCTATACAACTGAAAAAAAATTCACAGGGATCATAACACTGGTTAATTTTCCACGTAATTATCACGTGTTTCGACATTTCTACTAACCACATTCGCTCTTAGGTACCATGGACTTAACCCTATCGTGTGTAAATTCCTTGTAAACAACCTGCAATTTATTGCGTACTCCACAATAACGAAGCAAAGACCAGATAGGCAACAGGGAGCCCCCCATTGTTGTGCCCAAGTGAAACCCTTTGAAATATGATACTTTATCTTCATTCAATGAAGCTTAACATTGTCAAAATAAATCGAATTAATTTCGTTACATCTGGAACAGAATTTAAACCAACAACACGAACAAAACCGGGACATATCAAGCGGAAGTTGATATATTTCCCTCGAAATTCATCTTTGCCCTCCTTTCATCAAAATTTTTAGTTTTTAACCCTAAAAACAAGAAAAGCCAAAGGGGACTTATTATCAGATACATAGTTTTTTGTTTTCTGGTCGCTGGGCCTATAACTGGGAGCTTTTAACCCGGGGGGGGGACTAATATGCGGGAGTTTACGGAATTAGACATGCGGAAACCTGAGACAAAACAGTTTGTTCTCTCTGTAAAATAATGGGAATGATATTTCGCGGAAGCTTACTGTACCCGAATGTTTTCATTTGGTCTCTGACGAAGTGTAAGCGTGGTCTCCTTCGCAGCGGCTATTTTGTCTCGTCACGCAACTATTCTAACTAGGTTACGCTTCAAAGCTCTGTTATGTTCAACATTGAAAAAAAAAATGAAACATATTACTAGGACTTAAAAGTCAATATCCTTGGCCCAGATAGGAAAGAAAGACATTTGCTCCTAGAGTTCCAAGGATTCAAGAGAAATTCTGTTTAAGTGTTAATGGCTCAAATATTGTTGTTGTTAACATGTCAAGGTTTGTGACATAACAATGTCGCCTCGGATTACCGACTAATCGATAATTTCTGACATCTCTTCTAGGTCTGACCCAATTTGGAACGAGGTAGCCAAGCGATATCAAGAGATAATTGAAAAAGAATACAAAATATTGGGCCAGTACTATGATGATCAACTGGTTACCCAGAGTAGCGCTGGTTCACCTAAGGTATTAACACAAGTAATTTTGAATGGGCATGACGGATCACGTTTACAAGGAAAACCAAAGGACACGTCATGCAAGCAAACAGAGACGCGTACGGAAACAGGAAATGACACCACCGATGTTAATAACTGCAATAGCAGAGTGCTAAAGAAGACAATGGATAATAAAATTCTTCCTCAAATTGTAGATGTCTACAGTTTGAATTCCGTCAAAACGAACATGAAAACAACTGGAATAGTCGGTTTTCGAGAGTTCAGTCTAAACGAGGGGAACCGTTATAAGTTTCCGTTGAATCACGGTGAAACCGCAAAAAGGGTTATACAAGATCGTGATCTTTGTAGCCCCAGTTCTGTCAAGAAATCTCCGCAGCCGGATAAGATAATAGATCTTACTATCGACGAAGAAGGAGAAGAACAAATTAGTGTCGACAAAGGATCTAATGATATGAATGAAAATATCTCAAAATCCATTTTGGACGACCCAAGTAAGCATGATGAACTAAAGGAGAAAATTGACACAGCTGATAATGAAGAAGATAATGCAGCTAAAACTGAATGTAGCCAAAATAAGCACAAAGACAGAGGTAGGAAAAGAAAACGAAGGTGTCAAACAACATATCGTGAAAGCTTGAGCAAGTACGGTGCCGAGGGATGTGACAGTGAAAGAACTCTGTACAACAGTTGTAACAATAGCAAGGTTGACAATCGAAATGATGGAAGTGTACAAAAATTATGGGACAAGAGTAATAACAGCAGTTCGAGTAAAGACGAAATGAGCCAAATTACAGAAGACAGGAATCAAACCTTAAGTAGCATCGGTGTTGTCCATGACGCGAGTAGTGTGTTGGACTCGACGTATCGTGCGAACAAGATTACGACACTTAAAGCCAGACTAGCCAAACAAGAAGAAGAGCTTGCTAGGCTTAAAACTCAGAAGGAAAGATTACACGTCCAATCAAACCATAAAACCTTAGATACACGTGGCAAATGGTTCTCAAGCCTGGCAGATTCATGTGCAAAAACCGATATGGAACAAAAGCGAAATTTTAAAACAGTGAGTGTAGATGACATATGTCAACACGTGTTAAAATCATTTGATATTTTTAATGCTCGCCGGTTCAGGAACAGAAAAAAGGAAAAGGCGGCGCCGCAGTCTCCTAACAATACTTGCGTGGTTAAGCAAGATGACAATGATATCTGCTTCCAAACTGAGCAAGATGAATTTCTGTCGCGAGTTGGTTTGAAAAGAAGGTGTATAAAAAGAAATTGAAATTTAATCAGTTCAGGGAAAGGACATGGTACAGTGTTTCGCGCAGTTGCACAGGATCCGGAGCAAGTTTTGAACATTGACCGTCTCTGCAACATATCCCACCTTAATTATTATTATGCTCTTCTTGTTATGTCATTTTCCCACAAAGAAGAAATCGTATTTTCCAAATAACTAAATTTTCTCTCACTAACTTCACAAGAAGGAAGGAAGTAACTATTCTATACATATTTTTTGTCGTGTTGTATCATTTCCATATTCAACTGTAAGAGAATACTTGACAAATAGAGTTGACATAAAGAGTGCCACAGTTTACCAATATAGCAGGTTTCTTCCTTGACTTGGGTGAGTCAAAGTGGGCTGGTTGAAAAACCCTTTGTTAGGCTCACAACTTAGACAAGTTTCTACTGGGTAGAGATTTCAAGTTTAATGTTACTCGTTTAAAACTCAAATTGTTTTGCCTTCTGCATCGAAATCTAAAGAACATTTTCTTTGGTATAAATCTGTGTTCTCAAAATTAATCTTGAAAAGTGAAGTGAAGCGACTGAGGTTAATACTTCATGCCGAAAAGTGACTCGGTGACGAAAGTTTAATTTTGCTAAGCCTGAAGACAGGAAAGTACCAGATGACGACCTGTCCAGATTAAGCAATATCTACCTTGTTGTGTTGCGTCTTTACTGTTAAGCCACGATTCTGATATCACAACCGAAGGGTCCAATTGATGCAAATGAAGACAGGGCGGTCCCCCTTAAAGAGCTCTTCAAATGATTTGCAGCAATGATAAGCGCTGATTAACCCACTTGAAAGAAAAAGTAAAATCAACCAAAGAACGGAGGGGGTGATTTAAATCGAATCCTGGTTTACTTTGCTTTACTTTAGAGCAAAGTAAGTGGCACATTTGGACCCACAGAATTCACCCGACTCAAAGTAATCTGCAATGATGCAATATGCGAAGATCCCTTGAAAATATGAGAGCAATTAAGGTTGCCGTCAACAAAGTCTGGTTAAAATTGTCAAATTTCGTTTTTTTGCTCTTTAGTTAGAGAAAGTAGTTAAGTTTAATTTGCCGAAGAAAAAGGACGCCAGATGCGGCTGACATAATGTTTTAGGGAAACCTGTACCGAAGAAAGAAACGCGTCAAAGTTGGAAAGGCCTCCAGCAGGGTGTCGATGTTTGCGGGGATGGTTGTTGGTTCCAAATAAATCCTCGAAATGGTGAATAAGTGACTGTAAATATATGAAAATCATTTATGTGAACTGCGGTTGGAGAAACGAATATGGAAGCGATCCTCGCAGTTATGAACACTACTTAAGTAGTAGTGAAAATAAGGCCGGGGTTTATTTGAAACCAACATAATAACCAGAGCGCTGCACCGGTATCGCAAAGGTCATGGGTTTAAATCCCGTACGCCCCTGAATTCTTTTCAGGCCTTATTTTCACTGCTACTTAAGTAGTGTTTATAACTGCGAGGATCGCTTCCATATTCGAAAATTTTGTTATTTTCATAATCTTTACTTTTTAAGTTTTACAATGATATATAAATCTTATTTTTATTTGATTCTTCAAAACTGTGATAACGAACGATACAGTTTGTAACCCCAACCAAACTGAAAGTTATACAATCATGCCTTAATCCGTAAGCAGCTGAAAGCTTCCGGCTTTGATAATCTCTAAAGTAAGACACATCGGCCCTTACCGTCTACGTCACATCCAGTTGTTTCGGAGTATTTCCACGAGGGCGATTTATTTTTCAAGTACGATAATCACGATGACTCAGGATTATCATGAAGTTTTGTTAGGTGATGGTTAACGACAAGGTCTGATTAGCAGAATTAAACCGGATTTTTTTCCGTATTTCGTATATATATATATATATAAAAGGTTGCTTTCCAGTGAGATTGTTGCGAGGCTGCGACCATCGATCTGGAATTGAAGATGTCACGCATCTCGAATTATGACATTCGGTTTTCCTATGAATTATTTTAACTGTTGCTTTGTTGCAAGGAAACAAAACTTAGTTTCTTCCCGTTCTTTTCCCTTTGTCCCCCACTTATTTTGCCTGGTTTCTGTCAGGATTGCCCTTAGACACCATTTCCTTCCGAGGTGTGGGCTGCTACAGAATTAAATTATCCTGAATCCTTGCACTGGTACTCGAAATTGGAAAGACTTTTCATCCTTGCCATTAAATCAACTAGTTCCACTTAACTTATTGGTGCTCCTTAAAAGTCCAAGAGAAGACAAGAACTCCTCTTGCGTGAGGTCATCTTTCCTTACGTCTGGAAAGTGGACGCACTCAGTCATAAAATCGTGTTTGGGAAACCTTTTTACTTTGCCGGTTTTCTTTTCAAAATTAGTTCTAAATTGCCGTGGAACATCTTTTCTAAGATTGTAGCGATATCGCTTTGAGTTCGACAAACCTGTATCTTCTGGGCCTATCCGTTTACGATTTGCGCTTCTGAGATCTTGGCAAAAATGATTCTTTGTTTCATATGAGTGACAAGTTTGAGTAATTGGCATATTCCTCTCATTTTGACCGCAGTCGGACTGCTCTTGTGTTAATATCCTAAGAACTTCTTTTGACTCGGGAAGCCTCGTAATGGTTTCACTCCTCAGCCGGCTAATTGTCTTCTCTTGCTCCGCCAGCAAAGCCTTCAAACTTTGTATTCTCTGGTCTGTCTTAGTTGTTATGTTGACCTCACCATGTTCGTGACCATAAGGGGAATTCAACTGATCGCTGTCATGATCTGAGACAACAGTTTTGAATTTTAATGAGCCAAAAGGGTCGTTAACTTCATTGTTGTAGACATTACTGTCTATGTGCTCGGTATAGTCGAGCCAATAAGGAAGCTGTTCCTCTTCATCTGTTTGGTACAGCCGAACTGAGGAATGGTTCCACCAGTCGTCAAAACCTTGTGCACTGTATATATATGTATATAAAAAAACAAAACAGAAACAACGACAGCAAGTAAACATCACGTCGCAGACTAGCCAAGGGCAACGGTTGCAGCACGCTTTGGGCTGTCAGGGGAATAGTTCACAATTCCTTTGGTGAACAGATCGGGTGCAAAAACGTAGGAAAACACTTGAAGGTCTGTAAGACAGGCGATCGGGCCGAATTTTGTGACTTCACTTGGTCACAAACACAGCTTATGGACTTCATGAAAGGCAACGAAAGCGAAATTAAGGTGAAAATGATGTAGATGCTACTTTTTCTCATTTTTCCCTCTATAAGATATTTTGTAGTACAGATTTTCGAAATTACATTATGAATGTTGACTAGTAAACCCTAGACATACGATGTACCGAATCAATCTGTTTTATTATTTACGCGCGAGCTAATAATCACTATTCGAAGCATTTAATTGAATATTTTCACGCCATGCACTTGTTTACATGGTTTAGGGACCGTCTGCTATAGTTGAATAATCAAACGTTATTTTGTTCATAGTAGTTGCACGAAGTCAACTTGGATTTTTGTGACGCAACGCAAAACGCGGGGCAAAAATATTTAATTAATTAACTGATATCAAGCTAGCTTCGCTTTAAGCTTGATGTTTTGCTGAGATCATAAGAGTGCACACTGAATCGTTGCAGCGCTGGAAAAGACACAGGTTGTTTGGTAAACCAGGCTCTCGAGAAATGACGAAGATATCATTAAAACCTCTATTTCGTTATCATGCAATGTCGAGGCCAGAGTCTAATACACCAACCTTTCAATGGGTAGTGTGTCCTCTTCTGGTGTCCGCGTACTTCCGCGGTACGCAGCAGCGTCTTCATCTGGGATTTCTTCGACACTGTTCATCAAAACTAAGCTCAAATTGATCAATTTATTCACGTCTTGTTTACTCTCATGAGTAATAGCCTTCTCTTCATCAGAAAACATGTTAAGTCTGCTTCCATTTCCCTTCAGCGTTATTGCTTTTGTCAGCGTCGGGTTTGCTATCGGATCCGCGGTCATTTGCAAACCCGGAAACTTCGTACGAGCTTTTCGGTTCTAGTTTCGTTTACATTCGGCCCGGTTTAGTTCAATATCGGCAGCGTTACTTTCACAACACGAGACAGTTACAAATGCTATCAAAGCTGACTGGCGAGTGATAAGCGATACCTTTGATTTGAAGCTTGTAGCAAAAGAATCCTAATCAAAGCATGTCATCTCGTCGAAGATACCGCTGTAATATTTTACCGTGTGATGTAAGTCACGGCTTCCTTGTCCTTTCTCCTCGAATCAACAACGGAGACAGAGACGCTTGATTGAACATTGAGTATTTAAAGGCTTGCAAATTTAAAAAAGAATCATAATTAAATATTGATCACATTCAAATATAAGCAAAATAGAATTGCGTCCTGATTAATGCCATTGTTTTCTCTGCCAATCAGCCGTCCGTTAAGTGACGAGAGAAGAACGCCACATATTTCAAGGGAGACACAATACAAACAATCACGTCTGCCCACAACTGCTTTCTTAGGTCAAAGACGCATAACTAGATATACAGCACCTTGTTTCAACAAAATTTGATTGAAAATAAAGAGTCTGTCGATTCACTGTTTTCAAGGTACTTTTACCGAGTTCTTTTAAACCTATCCCTGAGGGCATCATTGTCCCAGTACCTAACCGTTATTTGGGAGAGGTACAGATAGATAGTTTATTAAAACTGCATCGCAGCCAAAGGCTGAATTATGCAATTATTACAAAAAAATTTACAATACTTGAAATTACAAATGAATCCTAGAAAATAAATCGAAAACTAATTTTTAAGACAATATTAAAAAATTCCATATAACATATTCATATTGAAATATGTTGAAAGATAAAGTATGAATATAAGTGGGATAAAACTACAGCCCCGACTGTTTCGACATCGCATATATAAAAGTATCACTTGTTCTGTTCGTGCAAAGCTTTGGCATGTTAAAAAGGCGCTGTCTTCTTAGGTTAGGCATGAGTTGTCATGGTCTGGTGGAAGGAGCGCCTTCAATTTATGGTTTGGATCACTGACAATGTTATCAAAAAGCCTGCTACATAGTACGTAATAGTGCTCCAAAATGGGTGTTAACCCCACCTCTATTACCGAGTTGCACTTTCCTGAGGTTATTATTGATATTGCTTTTTCTCGAGCCGTACCAGCTCTTTCTTTAAGTACTGGGGGAGACCATTAAAAAAGACGGGTGCTGCATAATCAACAACAGATCTCACGCACGATGCGTAGAACAGTGCTAGATCTTGTTTCGGAACTCCCGCTCTAACTGAGTTAGGAAGTAGAAGTAGGAAGTAGAGTCTCTTGCTAGCCTTTTTGGTTATCTCAGTTACATAGTCGTTCCATCTTAGATCGTTCGCCATTGTAAGGCCTAGTAGCTTTGTACTAGTGACTAGCTCTACCTTCTTCCCTTCTATGATGACGGGATCAAAGACTCTTTGCTCTTTAGCAAAGAAGATCCTGAGTTCTTTGCACTCGTCGGCGTTTGGTTGGACCCTGTTCTCTCGAGACCACTCAACTACTCTGTTAGCTATTGCTTGCGCGTGACTTTCTCCGCCCTTTACTACTACCTCAGATACCGTGGTGTCGTCCACATATTTCCATTGCTGTGCGTTCCTATCAAGGTCGTTAATCATTAGGACGAACAACCACGGGCCTAGTTTAGTACCATGTGGTACGCCGGCGGGGACTGGGCCCCATTCAGAAAAACACTGATGCAAATTTAATCCGCTAGGATCTCTCCGATAAAAAATCTATAATCCAGTTGATAATGCGAGCTGGTAATTTACACTGGTTATGCAACTTTCTAACGAGTACATGAAACTCAAAGAAGTCTCTCTAGGTCATCATTTTCTCCAAAACCTTTTATCAAGAGTTTAAGCGTGCGATTGTAGTGAACTGTTGATTGTTCACCATGCGCCCACGCCAAACCACTGATTTTCTGTTTTCATCACAGTAACTCCCTTTTTTGTGTGTTCTAGTTTAGGAGTAAAATTAACGGGGTCATACGGACGAACGGGTCAAGAATCCGCTGAAATTTGGCTTCGTAGCTCAGTTGATAGGAGCGCCCGACTGTTATCCGTCACCATATTCCCACCAATAGCGTAGCTCCATATTCTGAATATAAACCCACACACAACGCACAACTCCTCCAATCGCTCTGACGAAGGGCTAACGTTCGAAACGTCAACCTTTCAACTCTCTATGGTGGCCAATTCACGTTTTCAACTCAGTTGTTAACGCTGAATTATCTAGTATCTGGGAGGCCTGAGTTCGAATCTCGTCGAAGCCTAGATTTTTGCAGGCGTCTTTTCTGCAAATCCACCTTTGAAGATCATTTTCTTGTTTAAGGAGATCGAACAGTCGTGTAGGCTTCACTGTTGCCGACATCTACCAGTCATTTCTTCTGCTGTCTACCTACCTAGAGCGCCAGTAAACTTGGGTATAAACTAAAGTAAATTTTTTAACGACTAGCTCCCTGTAAGAACACATGGATGGTTCTACTTTTCGTAATCTTAATTTTTACGCGGAAGACAAGCTAAAATTTAATTTCATAGACTTTTAAAAAAGATGAAGTTCAGACATCCTCGATCTTTTTTTTTTAATTTCTTCTTTTTTTTCCTTTGTTTGTTGTTGTTTTTTCTTTTTTCACCATCACACTAGCAGTCCAGATTATTTTTTAAAGTCCACTTTTCCAGTCCTGAATTTCCTCAGGCCGCGGGTCAGCATACTATGAATTGCTTAAACGTAAACTACAGAACGTGTGTAAGAAATTTGAAATTTCGAGAGAAAAACGTCGATTAGGACCGTAAGCGTGTCGTGAAACAATATGAAGTTGCTATGGGGCTATATGTGCATCGGAAATGCAAATTAGTTTATTTCGTTGACCTCAGTCACGCAACCGCTCTTGTAATTCATATAAATTATTGTTGCGTCACTGTTGACGAATGCGCGGGCGGGTGAGAGTAAGGCACGAAACTCATAACCGAAGGGACAAAGCTGACGTCAGGTGTTAGGAACTTTTTGGCAAAAATCAGCTTACACTCAGGAAAAGGCTCGAGATTATGTCAAAGTCAATTCAACTTGTAACTTGATTACGGTAGGGATCTAGTTTGAGAGCAGTAGCTGGGCATCTTAAAATAACGATATTGTCCTTTGACTTGTTATTATTCATGCATAATTCGCAGCAGTGGTTAAGTTGTGCTTTCATTTGTCAGTCGCGGGTTTGCGAGGCAGTTTTTATGTTGCTCATATTTTATTGTTAAAATTATCTCAATACCTAGCATGGGAAATGCTGAAGCTGTTCCACACGAAAAATTGATGAGTTCTTCAAAACCAGGCAACGCGTTTTCACCTGTAGACGGGAAATTAACGACTGATGTTCGCTATGGCACGTCTTCTCAAACCACTACAGGAACTGACAACGAAATCGAAACAAATGGAAATCTCGACAAAACCGCAGAGAGAGGAAAAACGATTGTAACAATCGCTGACGATCCTGAAGCCCCCTTTTCAAATTCTGTTGCGTTTACAAACAGGTAGGTGATATTCGCTACAACAATTGATTACTGCCCGTGCCAGTGTCTGTTTTTTCGAGGCCATTCGGATTTGTCGAAGGTCATGACACTCATCTACAAAGGAGGTTGTTGGTGAACGTGTTTACTGAATGTTGATCATCCACAAAGACATGTGTTGAAAGTAATACTCCTAAATTGAGAAATCGTTTAAAATAAGAAATCGATGCTCAATAAAAGGGAGATTAAACGACTACAGTACCTGTATCATGGTTAAGTTCTTGTCTGGCGAGACAAGATGTCACGCGCTGGAGAACACGCGCTCCTCATGAGTGTTGTTACGACAGGAATAATTAAGAAATCATCAAGGGCACCATTTCTTTGTTTTATGCTGATGGTTTTGTGAGAGAGCAAACTGGTAAAGCAACGGAATCTCTGTTCGAAGGATAATTCCGCACTTGAAGTGTGAAGATTTTAACCGAGCTATTGCTCGTGTAGACATAGCATGCTTATCATTTGCGTGCCTGCATTTTAATGAAGGTCAGCTCTGTCGAGACAGCTGAATGAATACAGGTTATTTGCTGAGGAAGAAGACAATTGAAAATGTTACTGGACTGTAACAATTTTTCCCAATCAGTTCTTGCATACTATGTCTATTTTGAAACCGTGCGGCGCTAAACAGTTATCCCAGGAGCAAAAATTCTTTATTTGCAGCTGCTTTGGCTGCCATGACTTCAATCTCGGGCGACCAACTGGTAGGATAATGTCACGCAGTTGAGTTCCATATATTTTCATATTGAGTTCCGTTTACATCTTTTTCGCCGTTTTTAACTTCTTCTGTCCACGCTTTTCCATGAGACACCTGGTGCGAGTGTGCGGTTTAATTCAGATTATTACAGAACACGCAACATGTTTTATTTTTCTCCAAGCGAGCCACTTTCGCACCTTAAATGGTTTTAATTGTTGACGTTTTTTTAACGTCGGTTCGAAAGTTTTGTTTTCTGTTTTGGTAATAGTCATGCCCCAGACATAGAGACTGAAAACGAAAGACACGTTGCTTAGAGCCAAAAGGATGAAAATTTATGTTCCGGTTTATTGTCGCTTTCCTTTTGGCACACATGCTTTTGTTTTCTTTATTTCAATTGAAAAGAACTGGTTTCTTTCAAATAGCCATAATAGCGGGAAGGTAAAACCAACTTCGTTAAAACTATCAATTTACAAATAACAGGAAGAACACAACAATTTGGATTCTCATTTGATTTTTAGCCATAATGATATTTCTAAGAAGAAAGAAAGCAAGCTCTTGTCTACAAAGGCCATATCGGTATGTTTTTTACCGACATGGCACAGCTTTGGGACAATCCTGCTTGGTGATCAATTGTTCACCTCTGTAAGTGAAAAGAAGGCGCCTACAGTTCATATCTTTGGAATTCGCGCTATTTTCGGGTTAAATTCTAATGTTTTGATTACGCCTGTAAAATAACAACCTACTAACTACCGAATATTGAAATTATAAATTACCTTTAAGACGAGTGCACTATCATTTCGAGATTTTCCAAAAGTGAGACCGCGGCCACTGTCGAACTTGCGTTATTTTGGCGGAAAAACAAAGTATCCTTCAATGTTAAAAGCCTAGCGTTAGCGAAAATGGCGTATTTGCAGAACGAGAAACTGCCACGTTAGCGTTCATTTTTTTTCGGG